ATATATATATTATTTATTATAATTATAATATGCATAACATATATATATTATTTATTATAATTATTAGTATTATTATTAATTTCACGCAAAAACGTGAAGTAAGGAAGTGTGACAACTTTGCCGAAGCATGTTATTTGAGCTTTCACGGTGTCCGTAGTTCCCCAGATAAGCGCGCCGAACAAGCGTGTGCTTGCTACGTGCGTGCTTTCTCAGTGCTCATCACGAGCACGCGCGTATTTTGCCGCGTGGGCGGGGCGGAGCGGCAAGAAGACGAAGGGGGAACCGTATGAGAAAGCCCAGACTGTGCTGTAAACGAGATTTTTTTTTTTTCTCGAGCAACTTCAAAGGAAAGCACTGAAGGCATTGGTCAGGCTAACGCAATACTGCCCTCTTCGACGTTATTATGTCACTCCCAACCGTTATTTTACCTTATTGTTGTCCTTTCACGTGAGCCTATTTTTGGTGTATTTTTCAAAATCGGATTTGCCTTTGATCACGTCGTGAACTATGACGCCTTGTCACCAAGCGACAAGCAAAGGCTAGAAGCCTTTAATACGTCATAGTCATTGGCTTAACGTAACCAACTGCAATTCGAATTTACTTCATTTCTGTTGGAAACTTCTCCCAGAAAACTTCAGCAACAATCTACTGTTTTAAGACAAAAAACAGTAGAAAAATAGCAAAGTTGGAAACTTAAGATAGCTTCGATAGAGAACTAAGGTAAGAAAATGAAGCGGATAATTCAAAAGTGCTCTGAGGATCAGCTAGACACTTTCGAAAACCAAGAGGTGCATGCTGCATTCAAAGAATTACAGAACGAGGTTTCACAAATTGCCATCTCTCCAGAGACCCGAAGCTTAGGATCAACCGACACTGAAGAAAGCCAGTCAAAATCATTTCCTCTGAAACGGATGAAGTCGTCAGTGGGAAATTCAGCAGGACAACATCCCAATCCAGTAACTTGTAATGTGGCAGAGTCAGACACTTTTGAAAACCAAGATGTACGCGCTATCCTCAAAAAGCTACAAAGTGAGGTTTCAGAGGCTTCCAACTCTGCAGAAACTCAAAGCTTAGAATCAGCGGTCATTGAGAATGACCAGTTAAAATCATTTCCTCGAAAAACGATTAAGTCCTTAGCGGAAAATGTTACAGGACAAGGTCCTAATCCAGTAACTTGTAATGTGCCAGGGACTTTTGAAAACCAAGCGGTACGCACTGCCTTCAAAGAATTACAAAACCAGACTTCATCTATTTCCATTCCTCCACACACCCAAAACCTAGAATCAGCTGTTTTTGATGATGGCCTGTTAATCTCATCTCCAGATAAAGTGATTAAGTCCTTAGCCGAAAATGTGGCAGGACAACGTCCTAATCCAGGTCCTTGTAGTGAGCCAGGCACTTTTGAAAACCAAGAGGTACGCGCGGCCTTCAAAGAACTACAAAACCATGTCTCAAATATTTCCATCTCTCCACATAACCGAAGCTTAGAATCAGCTGACTTTGAAAAAGGCCAGTTAAAATCATTTCCTGGGAAAGCGATTAAGTCTTTTATAAAAAATATAGCAGGACAACATTTTACTTCAGGACCTCCGACTGCCTCTGTGCAAGTTCCTACTCCAGAAAATTATACTGCCTCTGTGCAAGTTCCTTCTCCAGAAACTGAAGCCTTTGCACAAGTTCCTGCTCCAGAATCTTCTACTGACTTTGAACACGTTTCTTCTGCAGAGAAGTCTACTCCCTTTAAATTCTTTAAGAGGCCTGCTACTGGAACCATCCCTTCAAAGCTCAGCAGCATTGGCAGAAAACATCATCCCAACATTGGGGATCAGGGAACCAGCAAACAACCACCTTATAATCCTGCTACCAAGAGGGACCTTGATAGTGTGCAGACTGGGCTACTAGGAGTAGACCCTACAGCACGCACTAAAGACAGGACAGGTCAAGACAAGCAAGAGAAAGGAATACAATGTTCTGAGCACGGCATTGCTCAGGGAGAAGATGATTTGACTGACTGTGAGTTCTATTGCAAAACTTGCAAATCCAGTGTTAAACCCTCTGTGCTTAAGGAGTTTGTCACTGAGGTGTCAGACTTGCTTCAATGCCAAACATGTAAACACGAGGTTTACATTATTTCTGCTGTCGTCAATAGACTTTTGGAAAAATACCCCCGTGATTCTGAACGACTGCTGCTGAGGGAACAGTCTGCTGTTCTGAAAAGGCGTCTTTCCATTTACCTGTCAGCTCACTTAGGCATTCAAAAATGTAATGAAATTGATCGGAAACTAAACTCAGATTACTATGCTAAGGTCATAGTTAACAACCTTCTAGGGATCTACGGTTCACCAAGAAAGCTGATCAAAGCAGCAGTTATTCCAGACAGCAACTTTTGCGATGACTTTGTAGCGTTTGTTGGATGTGAACTCGTAAAGACAAGAGCATACAAGAAATACGGTTTCCTTAAAAAGATGTTTTCGCCTTTCAAAAAAGCCTACAATTGGACTTATGATCAGTTCGCTCCAGCCACACAGGTGATGTTAGATCTCAGTTGTTGTGGATATGCTTTTCCAAAAGATGGAGAAGATTAGGAGGGCGGATTATTAGGAGGATAACAAAATAAATCCTCATCTCTATTTTCATTGACTTTTTTATTTATTAATTTTGGTGGAGGTTTTTTCCTGTTAAAACAGAGTTTTCCCTCTTATGTGATGTTAGATAAAAAAAAAACACCTTCCAAAGTAGGAAGACATAAATTTTCCTTTGGTTTTGCTCTAAACATAAATTAACTTCGTTTTTAAAAAGTTGACTTGTGGATTCTCTGCAGGTCATTTTCTTTGGTAATATTACTACTTTGCTATGTAACCTTCATGTACAAGTAAATCAGATTTTGGTTTCATCGTCATTATTTAATTTTCTGTCTCACAGTTAATAACTATCAATACAATTACTAAATTATTTTACTATTTTTATGTTCTCTTTATTCTCTTCCATATAATTGTTTTTTTCTTTTTTGTATTTTATTATTGTTAATATTATTACTCTAAGCATCAGTACATCTGATTTACTATCACCAGTATTATCACTACTATTTCATTAGGTTAATCCAGAATTATTAGAGAACAGGAAAATAATGTAAATCAAAAAATAACTGAAAAAAAATACACATCCTAACCCACATGTTAAACAATTTCATTGTTTTTGTCGTGACACCTTTGATGTTCTGAGTTTGGTCTTTGTTCTGTACGTGTCGATCTTAATGTATACCTCCTTGGTTTTTCTTGTTCCTTTTTGTTTGCTTCATTTGTGGTGCTGTTATTTCTTCTTTTATCTGGTTATTTTGCACTAATTTGTTGGTCTGTAATGTTTGTTCTGTGTGCATTTATTGTTGAATTTTAAAAAACATGCTGAAAATCACTCGAGAATAAAACAGGATCCCCAGCATTTGGCCAGCGGTGGCCATGGACCCCTCTGCCCCCCCATTGGGGGCACCACTGAACATCCAAATATTATACACCAAGCAACCTGGAGGGAACCTTTACAGAGCTCCCAAAATGCAACGTTTGCAAGGGATATTAATCGGTACCGTAACTGTAATAGACCAAACATTAGCTGATGAAATTTACTAAACTATGCCATTTTATTTTTTGCTGTCTTTAATATCCAGTTTCATCATAGTCTCTTTATGTTCACCACACACAAAACACACCATATTTCAGCTTTATTTTCTTAAAAAAAAAAAAAAAAAAAGCAGCCATGTCCTCCAATGTTTCACTTCAAAAACCAAAGCATACATGTAGTACCACAAAGACCATTTTGTCCGTCACAAACAAAAACTCCACATCAACGACAAAGATGATTGGACAGTTGTATAAAGTGTAGGTTTAAGTACAGATAGTAAAGCCATTATTTAAGCTTCTCAGTCTTTAAAATGAGAAAGTACATGAGGAGAATTCGAAACACACTCGAATGAAATGTGTCCAAACTGAAATAGAAACAATAATAATCATCCTAAAACTGATGAGGATATCTTCAAACGACTGCCTGCGTTGGACAACGTCACAGTTTTCAGTGGAGTGGATTTATTTTAAACATACTCTACTCAGTCTACAGTAAATCTACAGGAAACACCTCTGGATTATTTGAAGGTATCAGAAAATAAATAATTCTTTTTTTTTTATCATACAAGCAACAGTAGTCTTACATCATAACGTTTCTCTCCTCTTAGGCCCTCAATATGTGCAAACTGCAAGAGCTTAAAAAGGTAGCACTTTATGCATGGACCGCAGAATATAAAAACAAGTGTTTTTACAACAAGCACTTCATTCAAAGTGTAGCGAATGTGACAGAAGACTAAAATATTATTAATATTAGAGCCACTTAAATAAAATAGGGAGTTGATAAAACAAAGGATTTTTTTTTTTGGAACTAACCAGCTTCTCTAATCAACCCAAATGCTAATATTATCCTCTTTACATCTTTAAAAAGTCAAATACTGAGATGTAAATATAACGCTGAGCTGAGAGTGAATTAGCAGTGAAATCCCACCTAATGCATTGATTTTTTTTACCAACTCTTGTCCCCATCAGAAACCAAATTACTTAATATTAGACAGAAGTCACTGGTCTTCATCACCACCTGTGCTTCGACAGAAAATGCTCCGTTGTAGCAGTTTATCACGAGTACTTCAACATTAAAGGGGTTTTCCTTTCGTTAAGACACAGATATGTCAGCGCGGACGGGGCTTCTGTCAAGAGTCTTCGTGTTTAACCAGACTGAAGATTCGCTTCTTTCATTCGACAGCAACCAGAAAGCATCTCCACGCCGCTGAAAATGCACTTGGAGGGATGTTGAATTCTTCTTGACGGCTTCAAGACGAATCCAGAAGAGTCCAAGTCCAAACAGACACGCGACAAAAACCCAAACAGATGGACACGAAGCCGGAGGAATGCTTCACTTAAACTTTGTTCCAAAAAGAATAATGATTAGAACGAGGACTATGACGAAAAGGATCAAAATGACGAGCATCTTCCTGTTTTTCTTCTGATACTGCTCCGCCTGCGAAGGAAAGGGAAGAAAAAACATACAAACAAAGATTTAGGTCCCGAGTCATTAATTTAGCATGTGGATTTTTATTATTGTCTTTAAAAATTAAAATAATTTTTTTGTTGACATTTAACACTTAAGCAAATGAATGATCAAAGTCATCCAAATTCATGACTATGGATAAAAATAATGTAATGTATCCAATTGTTAGATTCAAAGACGTTTATGTTAATTGCTTTGTCGTCATTCACGTTTTGGAAAAAAAATATACAGATTTATTATTGAAAGCCTGAAATCTATAAGGCAGCCCTGCCGATCATGTGTTTGTAAACTTACGATCATAACTGGATGGTTCATACAGGAAACATCTAGCACTTGAAATATGACATGCAGAACAGTGTTTTGTTTACCTTCTGTAACTGTTTCAGTCCGTCTTCTGTTTTTACACAAGCCTGCTCCACGTTGAAGTCAATTCTGTCCAGAACAGTTCCCTTTGAGAAAATAAAAACATTTTTATTAGAACAAAGTACAAACAGCCGGAGCTGCACTTTATTTTGTAAAGCTAATGCCAGTGTTTTTTTCTCCATTTCCAAATACATCTAAACTTTTATATAAGGATGTTTTTATTTACAAAGATAATCTCTAAAATGCAGGGGTGAATGAATTTTCATACAGAGACGGTATCAAATGCTTTCTCTTCTGTTATATATTAAATAACAAAAAAAGGCAAACATCAACTGAACGTATTTTTTTCCTTTTTTAATTAAATATTTTTCTGGCTGCTAGATTTTTTGTTTCTATTTTTTCTTTTTTTTATAATTATTTTTAAAGTTGTATTTGTTAGATACATTTTTCTGCAGTTTTTTAAATACAGCAGCCTCAACCATAAACTCTAGTATTGCATTGTTTTGGAAAAAAAAAAGAAATCAAACAAAACAAAACCTGCAAAAAGATTCAAGGCTTCTACCAACATGAAAAAGATCCTCTAAAAATATTGTTTTCAAAAACAAAATGACTTACATTTTCACAGTAAGCAATAAAAAAACAGAAAAAAGAAATGTAGCATTTACAATTATTCCACTAATTATTCTCCTTTTAGTACCTGCTCCACCACCATTCCCGCCAAATCCCGGAAAATCTCATTCAGATCCGAGATGGACTGCACTATTTGTCGGATCTCCCTCTCCCGTTCCTCCACCAGAACCGTGTTCTGCTCCACCAGCATCAGCTGATCATCTGTGAACCCCTGAGAATTCAAGATTCACACACCCTGTTACACACTCACAAAGAAGGGAGGATAATAAGCACAGAAAACCTGAGCAAATGCTGTTGCAACCCATAATGCAACAGTAATTCATCAATATTAATGAGTTCATGTCGCTGGTTGCTAACCATTTTCAGTGACAGATAAACTGGGCTGTTTTATTTCTTGATACTTTCATCCTGCTCACTTTCATGGAAAAGATAATTTTTCAACTTTTTAAAAAGGAGCTTAATGCAGGCCTGAATCAACTCATAAAAACAAAATACCACTTCTAAATTCTACATTAGATTTAATTCTAGTAAAGCAAAATGTGTGAAAGATGACCAAAAAGAGGGAGACAAATAGGCAGACTCATGAAAAAATCTCAATTTTATTTACACTTTCATAAAATTACCAAAATAATCAAGGATAAAAGGATGTGCATCTCCGTTGATGGAGTTGATAGTCTGCCTGAAGATCTTAAACTAAGTAATAACATAACACAGTTTAAAAATAAACTAAAACATAGAATGACTGAAAGCGATAAAGTGACTTTCATATTTGAAATATGATTGAGAACTTCCTGATGATTTACTTACTTTATTTTATCTTTCTCCTTTTCCTTTTCTCGTCTGAATTTTTATGCATTTTTTATGTATTTTGTGTATTTTGTTAATTTTACTTAAAGTTATGAAGAGTGGAACAAACCCAAATAGCTTCAGCCTACACCTTTTTGATTTATACAACACTTATGAATTATTTTTACTCGACTTTGTTTTGAATTTCTTTGGTTTGTAGCTGCAGGGTTAACTGATTGGAACAACTATTATGCGTGTCTGAGTGTTTTACGTCGAATAAGCTCAACTTCAAAAATGTACGGAAACTGCTTATGACGTAATCATCGTTCAGCTGCAGCAATGCCGTCCTGCTCTCGCTCTGCTGGCGCAAACAAAATCCTCTCACCTTGTCGTACAGAGCTAACTCTTCATCCTCTTCCATTAAAGGTCCTGAATCAAAAAAGTGCTTCGATCTCTCCTCCCGATTCTTCATACCTGGTACATAACCGTCCGCATGATTAAAACGGCAAAATAAAAGAAACGGCGTCTAAGGTGGATCTACGTAGATGATGTTGAACAGAATAAGAAGTTTCTTACGTTTTAAATAGCTGGACTGCGTGTGCCTGAAGTTGGTGGACAGGTCCTGCAGGCTTTGAGCCAGGGACGACACCACGTTCACCAACAGCCTCTCCTCCTGCTCGGTGCAGTGGCCCCGGCGAGACTGCAGGCCCATCACGGATCGCTGGCATCGGTGGAACATCTGAGCAGAAGACGAGATCACGAGCCGTCAACCAGCGCAAGCAAAGCAGGACCCGACTAGAAGAGGTCGTGTTTTTATGTTTGACGTTTTTCTGTTAAGTCAACAATGTCAAAAGCATCTCTGTTTTATCAGTTTGAGTTTTCCTCCACTGTTCAAGAAAAAAAAAAAAAAGTTTTAAAAAGGTTAAAAATATAAAGAAGAGATTTTATTTGAATGGAAATTACACAAATAAATCTCTAATAAATAAAAGCTGCTGCTGCTCCCACAAAGCTGCGCAACCACAAAAATGTGAAAAACCTGCCCCTTTAGTGAGGTCAGATATGAACAGCGAAAGCAACAAGTTAACCAGTAATAATTTTCAAAGCAATAAATAAATAAATTCAGCTTTCTGCACGATACTTTTAAATCACGTTTAGCCATACTTTGTAAGTCGTGTCGCTCCATTTAGCACATCATTTAGTTGAGAAAATCAGCAGACGAATTGAAGAAATAAGGAACAGTTTAAAGGAAAATTTCAGCAGAGATTAATTACTTATTTTTTAACAAAGTCATAAAGTGCTGCACAATATAAAATCTCAAACCATAAACCATTAAATTGACAAAGTGAGATGAAGCGTACGATGACGGACAGAAAAGTGCTAAAGCTGATGTGGAACCACAGGGAAAGGCTACAGTAAATACATCCGTCTTTAATTTTAGATAGCTAACGGGCAATTCTTTTACCATCGAATGTTACTGCATAATCTATATTGTCAATTTTTTATTTATTGTGACAAAAATAAACTCTGCATAATTATGTTTACTTACCCCAAAAACTAAAACTATTGTTGAGTCTGTTGCTTTTTTCCCTCCACTGTTATTTTCATATCAATATTTTCAGCAATATAATTAAACGCAGTAATTATTTGCTGCTCAATGATAAAACTGCACTACGTAATTTAACCTGCGCAGCAATAAGCAAGTTGCTCCTGTAGGCAAGTTGCTGATTCCACTCCTCATCTGGACAGTAATGACAGCGAGTGTTGAAATTAGATAAAAAGGTGAATTTCTCAAACCAAAACTGATCCAAATGGGGACAGCGGTGAACAAAAGCACCTGCGTGATCTCCTGGGTAGTGATCTCTATGGCGTGCTCCTCCTCGCTGCTGTCATCCAGCGTTGGACGATTCATGTGCTTGTCGTGAAGCAAAGCCAGGTCCCTCATCTTCTGCTGGATCCGTGTGATGTCGTACTGGATCTGAAAGATCAGCAGTCAAAAAAAAAAAAAAACCATCAATACTGCGCGTTTCATTGTTTCATTTCTGCTCGACCGATGATCCGATTTACCTCGTCGACCCCTTCTATCCATTTGGGAGGCAGCTTCTTTGTGACGCCGATAGCAGCTTCTGGGTCCAGACTGATCCCAGAGACCAGAGCCATCCGGTCATCGGCCAACTTAGAAAAAAACAAAAAAAAAAAAACAAAAAAAAAACAGACATCTGTATAAAAATGTTTCTTATAGCATCGAAATGGTGCGATGATTATGATGATTGTAGAGCTCTACTTTTATTCTCTTAATTTTGTGAAGGGAAAACAACAGTAGTACCTCGTCAAGCTCCTAATGTGATTGTGAGAGAGCAGAGTGTTTCCATCCAGCCAGGTTAAGCAAAGGGGGAGAGAAGCAGAAGTAACAGATTGAAACGCAGAAAAAACCCCCTGTAAATATCAAAGAAAAGGTTTGCTGTCTACTTTCAGTTAAAAATTAGCATCATTAGTTTTAGCAGCTCATATTAGTCCTTCATAATGTACTCGAGTGTGTTACCAGTGTAAGAAATAAATCATCCCTGAGAGACAATGATGCAAAGTTAGATCGTGTAAGCTTCCATACAGAAAGAAGAAAAAAAAAAAAACTATTCTCAGTAAGTCCTTATAAAATTTTCCCACATAACAACCAGAGACGTCACAGTATGATATTGGGATTTTAAGTAATAGAACATCTGAAGCGGAGAAAAAATGGTTTTGAATTACTTAACCTTCCCTTCAGAACCACCCTCAGCTGCAATTACAGCTTTTTCAGTTTCCCCATGTCTTCAGACTGTTTGAGCAAAACAGCTCAAACTCAGTCAGACTGTATGAAGACTGCATGTCATGTGTCAATGTCCAACATCCCCACAGCATGATGCTGCCACTGCCACCCTTCATGCCGCAGCGCTAGATTTACAGCATTTTGTGCATAGGTTAGAAAGTTTGATTTCAGTCTCATCTGGTGAGAGTCTCTTCCTTCACATGCTGCCGTCTCTCCTACATTGTTTTTGGGGAAACTGCAGATTGGTGAAGAGTACGAATGTCAGTGGTTTTAACGTCGACTGAGTCTCCCACCTGAGCTGCGGCTCTCTGCAGCTCCTCTACGGTTACTGCCAGGCCTGTCAGGTGCTTCTCTAATTACTGCTGACCTTCCCTGGTCGTGGTGAGTTTGGAGCACCATACTCCATTTTAAATAATAGATACAGCAGTGTACTTAAGTTTTGGTCAGTCACATAAGATCCCAATAAAATACGATGAGGTTAAAGGTTGTAGTGTGACAAAATGTTAAAATGTTTAAAGCATGCGAGTGCTTTGTCAAGGCCATTGTTAGTATTCTCCAATAAAATGGAGTGAAACCATAACATTGATCTGTTCGTGTTTCTACGAGAGAATGTGAGGTGAGCAGGAATGTGGTGGAAACGTTCACAGCAGGGTGTGATAGTCGCAGCTGGAAGCTTCCTACAGCTTAGAGAATGTTTCAGGGAGTAAGAAGAGGATTGGTTTTCTACCTTTACTTCTGCAAAGGTTTCAGCATGCATACAAACATCAGGGTTTATAACATAGGCAAAGTTTCTAGACTGACTCATAACGCCCTGTAAATGAAATTTATCACATCAGATGATCAACAATAAATGAAGTTTTCTTTGCAGGCAGGCAAGGAATGTCCACTATCCCTTGTTTGGGCTCCCTGGTAATCTGATACCAAGCTTTATCCTTTCTGGGTTTTCAAGCTGCGGGTTTGGAAAAAAACACAAGTTTGGGAAGGAAGATCTCAGATAAAAATGTTTGCCTTCCATTAGAGCTACTCTGAGGGAAAATGTTTGGACTCATTTTGCGCCTTTGTGGAGAGATTCCACACCATGTGGTGATTTGTCTCTCACAATCCTTGTTGTCGGATTACAACCATGAACTTCAACGTATTGTATCGCAGTTTTATTTTATAAACCATAAAATAGTCCATAATTGTGAAATGGGATGTACTAATACATTGTTTACAAATGTTTTACAAATAACCGGTATTAGTATTAATGCAGTTGTTCTATGAAGGGTGTTTGTTAAAAAAAAAAAAAATGCTAAAGAACAATTAGCATAATGAAGATCAAAGAACACAGCAGTCAGTCTAAGGCAAAGGGAGATGTTTCAAGAAGGCTGTAATAACATACTCAAAACTTTGAAAATATCACAGAAACCTCAAAATAAGAGAACGCTACTAAGTAATGAACTGACAGGCTGTGGAAGGACAGCATTAGTCAGAAGTCAAGGATCCGTGGGAAAAGTTCAGTGAGAAAAGTATTGAATAAAATAGTGTTTTGGTGAAATAATAAAGAATGTTTAAAGAATACTGATTTACAAGCCTGAATATCAAACCTAGCTTTGGATTTTTTAATAAATTAGTGATATATATATATATATATATATATATAACAGAGGTCTGACTTAGCCAATCCAAAACATGTCACAGAGGAAATCAGGTACAGTCACAGGATGGACCTAGACTACAGCACAGATTTTACAGAGACCAGAACACATGTAAACATCTTTTAACTTTCAATAGCAATGAATGATTTAAATAGTGTCAAAAACAGACTTTAGCGGTGGTTAATATTTAACAAATGCCATTTTTCATAGTTTTTAGCTTCGATTTAGCTTCTGCGGGCAATAAAACATCCTTGCGTGGTCCTCCTGATTCACTCTCGTCAATCAGTCATGAAGTGAAACAAGGGACCACATCAGCTCTGACAACACAGAATATCTACTGCTACCCAGGTGGCTCTAGCTACGCGGACTCAGGGACTAACTACATGCAAACACACACAGTAAAATGTCAAAACAATGCAGAGCACTCACCGCAGCATTGCTACGTGTACTCAGACGGGGGTCGTATGTACTCACTTGCTCAGCCAAAATCTGCCGGTTTTGGATCGCATTGTTCCGCATTAACAAGAAGGCATCGGTCAGACGCCGAGTGGCCATGACTGCCTTTGTTGAGCTCTGAATTAACAGAGGACAAACTGACTGCGGATCACCCGATGATTTAGTAAATTATCTCCAATGACGCGCTGCTAGCTTTAGCTTTACCTGCGAAGAGTGAGGGAAGTTTCGCGGTTACAGCACATCAAATCTCTCCGATCATATTGATCTGTCAAGCTTCTTTAGCATCAAATTTTAGTATCGAGAGAAAACCGGGAAGTTCAAGACAATTTTGTATTTGTGGTCAAATTGGAAACGGTTGCTCCTCTCTTAGAGAGCTACGGAAGTATGTGTACGTCAACACGTAAACGTCTGCGTTAAGCGCATCTTCTTCTAGTGCTACCCTCATCAGCACTTTACAGATATGTCGCCCTCTAGTGCCTCAATTAACATTTTTTCTTTCTTTGTTTGAACACTGTCAGGTTTAAAAAGCGCCGTGAATTTTCTAAATAATGGCTCATGCTGATACAGGACAGGATACATTGCAGCCAGTTAAATTATTTAGTGAAACTGTAAAAATAATGCAAAAATGCATTGCTATTTCAATGAGAACAAAATGTTATTTCACTTATTCTTAACATTCTAGCATTTGTTTTAAATATCCCAATGAGCAACATTTTTAATAGTTTAATTGTTTAAAACATTAATCAATCTATTGTCTGTATTTCTATTCTTGCAGGGTTGAGTGGCCATTTTAATTCTTTAAATAGAAACAATTCTTTATAATATTTATTAGAATAAGAGCACAGGTTTCCATGAAGTCTGAAATATGGAGGAACTAATTAGTAATAAGTTGTTTTTAGTAGTCATACAAAACAAAAGCAGGTGAGAAGAGAACTATAATTAAATATCGGATTGTTTTTTTTGGGTCAGTGCATAACTTCATTGATTTTTATTTTTAATTCATATGAACGCTACTAAGTGTTCATATGAATATAGAAAAAGAACTACAATGCATTTAGAAAAAGAACTACAATGCATTTAAAATTTAATCTAGATTAAACATCCACAACAAGCAGGGTAAGTATCACCCTTTATTTGAACATTTTTTTTTTTGTCAGGGAATGGCATTATCTGCTGCAGAAAAGCAGAGGTGCCGCAGGACTTGTGATGCAAACGCTGAAAGAAGGCAGAAAAACTTGACTTAGGCCTATGTAGCTGGATATCTGGGGGAAAATTTATACATTTTTATGCATTTTGGCCATTCATCTACACAAAACCTTTGTTTAATACCACTCGGACCAAAGTGTATATTTGAGAAAACTTCTTATTTGTGTTTTTGTTTGGGTGTGTATGTGGAAAAGGTAAGTTTGTTGATTGAAGATGTGAAGCAGAAATGCATGAATAAGAATAAAACATTTTTTTTCAGGTGAAGTTCATGAGAAGACATTAGCTGGTGTGCAGATGACCTAATGAGAGAGCCACAATCCCCATTAGGAAAAGAGTCTCTAACTAGCCTTCCTATGCGTTTCTGCTGGATTCTCATCTCCCTTCAGTGCTCTGACTGGATTTTCTCTCATTGGGTTTGATTTCTCCTGTAGAAGTCCATGCCTCTAAAAATAAAAATAATTTATAATGCAAAGCTAGGGACAAGTCAGCTATTGGAAAACGTAACCAGGGGAAGAGTATCCAAAAATTATACTCAAGTAAGAGCAGCACTACTTCAACATATTTCTATTCAAGTAAAACTAAAAGGTAGCTGTCCATGAAATTACCCAATAAATAAATAATAAAAGAGTGTTAAGTTACTCAAGAACTGATAGCTGATCAAAACATCAATCAATTAATATTCAAAAATTACATCATCAAATGGACTAAAATAAAGAGTTACATGGAAATTTAGACATTTTAAGGACCAAAGTGAAAATA